CCTTGATAAGCCAAGGCCTTACGCACAGCCACCTGGGGCCAGTCAAAAACTCACTTTCAGCTAATTTGGCGTATCCACATCCTCGCAAAGGCAGTTGTTTCTTGAATGTATCCTAACCCTGTATGAGTTTGGGGGATGGCTTTCCGGTTTTGACACCTTCCCAAATGAGGTGGATCACTGTGGAGCCAGAGACAAAACATACAATACGAGGCCCGGGCACCTTTCCGCGTTTTTGGCTTAGGGAGTTCCAGAGATAGGACGCACCCCAGTGCAAAGAGTTGGAAGCGGCAGTTTGGCCTGCAATGGGTGCTGAACAAGCCACAAACAAATGGCGATTTTCCCCACAAGGAACCCACATGGGATGGGTCACGTGCACACCTTGCGGCTTTCAAGGTTTAGAACGCCTTCCCCATGGGTGAGCATGGTGTTTTCAGACCCAATTTTTTCGCCCCCCTTCTCCCCCCCCCCCCAACAATGTATTGCTGAGAAGCAACATGTAAGGGCTTACCAGCTAGCTCTCGCAAGCCAACTAAACTTGCCAGCGATTCCAGGGAACTAGAAAGAGATCAAGAAGCTGGGGTACATGAAGACTACCGATTTGTCTCTAAATAGGCGGGATCCCCAAAGCGATTAGAAACCGACCCCGCTTTGAACCATTCCCAAAAAGGTAACCTTCAAAATCGGAACACTTTGAGGCCTTGATGCGACGCAAGGCTTTGGAGGAACAGCTTGACCTCCCTGGATCTCTGTGGAGTTTGGGGGGTCCAAGCTCAGATTGTTTGTTTGTCTCGATAGACAGGGACAGTCCCAACCATATTATTATACATAAGTATACACAAACAGATATACGCGGCCGCCCCCTTAATTAATTCTTCCCATTGGTTTGGGCAGGCCCATGACTCAGGTGGGTCCCTGTGGTTCTGGACGAAGACCGGCGCTGCTTCTCCCTGCACTGGCCGAAGGAGTGGGGGCCGGCGGAAATGGAAGGTCCGAACAAGTCCATGGCCCGAGGTTTGTTCTGACTCCAGGACCATTTGGGGGACAATTGGGAGATCGGTTTATTCATGCATTTGTGATTTTAATTTGTACGTGCTCATTTGATTCTGCATGAGAAAGCACAAAAATGAAAGCGGCAGTGTTTTGCTGTGTTACAAACACAGCTGCTTAGAAAACCCACTGAGAAGCTACCCCAGCAATCTACATTGGACATGTGTTGCATGCCGTACCTGGCTACAACTTATTTGTTACAGACTTGAAATCATTCGGCAGACTTCTACCTGCCTTGCTTGCCCAGGGCTTCTCACCAGCTTCTCTTGGGCCCAACATCCAAGTACAGGGCAAACCGTTCCGGCCCGCCAGTCAATGAACTCGAAAAAAGACGCACGCCATTGCAGATTGGGAAGGATCCAAATGGTCTGCCAAAATATTGGGGCGATCTCAGCCGGGCGTAATGTGAGCTCACCATGATGTTCCCTTGCTGGAAACAAGCAGAACAGTACGGGTTGTTCCTGGATTCGGCGCCTGGGTAAAGTAATCATCCCAAGGATGAAGGTGCTGCACGTGGGTCCCTTGCACGGCCATTGGGGGGGGGGGTTGTCTAAGTCTAGGATAAGCCTTATTCAGGGGTGAAGGCCATGGGAACCCACTCAAATGAAGGTCCTTCTTTCAGGCTTGCAGCGCGCAGTGGGTTGCTCTTTGGTTCGACCTTTGCTTTGCAGCCTTGGGAGTTTGAACATGACTGCTTCCTCTGCAGAGCGCAACACTTTTTTTGCCGGGTGTTTGCCAAAGAAAAAGCGGGGTTTATACATGTATATGATATGTACATGCTCTGAAGCTGTTTGATAAGTTGAGACTCGGGCTGTCCCTAGCTCTTCCATGAGAGAGGGACTGCCAGCTTCCATGGGAAGAAAGCCACCCAGTTGGGAGGCCATCTCCCCGGACCGCTCCGCGAGCTACTTGCAGCGCTTGCTGGGCTCGGCGCCGGGGCCCATGGTCCAACGCCCCCCCTGCTTCATCCGTGCGGGGATTAGAAGGGGCCGGAGCTGGTGGATCAGCGGGGGATCCAAATTCGCCGCAGTTGCATTCCCAAAGCCTTCGGTGATTCCCTACCGATACGCAGCGGAAAAAAAGAAAGAAAAGAAAAAGAAAAAGAAAAACGATGCCGTATGCGACAAAAATGGATGGTTCCAAGGGCAATCTGCCAGGGAAGTAGTCAAAGACCTGACAAGTCCCATTAGGTCCAAGCATAAACATGACGCTTCTAAGTTGTGGTTTCAACCACTACTTTGAGAACCCCTCTTGTGCACTTTGATAGGCCCAGCCAGGAGTCTTTGCGGTGGGCTTGGTAGGCGCAGTTTCTTTGTCAGATCGACATGGAAGCCCGGAGAAGAACAGAAAACGCCGCCGCTTTTTCCCGGAGGAATCTCCTGTTGAACGCGGAAAACGCAGAAAGCGCCCCCCGCCTTTTTCCACGAGGAATCTCCTTTTGGGGAGGCCCAGGCCCTCGGTTCCGGTTCCATTCCCGGCCCAGGCCCTGGGTGGAGTTGAGGAACACCAAGGCGTGCACCGGGCATATCCCGAAGGCTACCTGAGTCAAATGGCTGTGTCTCAAAAAACCGGTACCAAAATGGAACCCTGGTAAGTGGAAACATGGACCAAAACTGGGAGTTTGCCCCTCCTGTTTAATTTTGAGCCACAGCCAAATGGCGTCATCCAGAATTTGGATTTCATGAACATAGCTGTGACTGGCCCGAGTGACTCTAAGGAGCCACGGGAAGTTAAGTGAAGTGCCGTGTCCTCCCACCTTTCTTTAAGCTTGCGCCGATTCATTCAGGGGAGCCCATGTCCTGACCATTTTATTTAGTTATCGAGCTCTGGCAAACCAGCTCACCGTGATGCAGGTCCTTTACTTGGGGATCTAATTCTTATTTCTGAGGTGCCTTCAAGGCTCTTCCAGTCATTTGGACGGACTGCCATGGTCAAACCCTTGTGATTGACCAGTTCATGTAGGCAACCAAGGGCTATCCCCTTTCAAAACGCGGAGAATGGTCACCAATCGATCCGGGCCTTGCACTTGGGGTAGAGGTTATCAAGAAATCGTGGCTTGACGGGTTCCTATGCTCTAGCTTCACCATCGCACGCGTGCCACTCAACTTCAGGAGATTTGTCCATTGACTTGGAGTTTGGCACCAGCATACCGCTACCCCGCCCCCAGAATCCGAAAGTAGGGTTGGGGTCTGAAGAAATGCACAAAAGTTCTTGGAGACCAGTTTCTGAGAGGTATGTTCGGGGGAATTTACGTTAAACAATTTGTGCGCATGACGATGGCATGTTTGGATGGGAATCAACCACCCAACAGAATCACTGACACGGACATCCGTGTTCCACCATGGCGGAAAGGAGGGACCGCTAATCCCCATGCAATGATGTCCCCAAAGGGTCAAATTTTACTTAAACCGCATTTCCAGCGCCCACAAACCAACCAAAGAACAAAGTTGCTCTGAACCTTACGGCAAACCACAAGGGTTGAAGATTGGTATTGGGTCCTTTCGTGCCCCATTTTCAGGGGAGTCTCTAAGCTAGTGACTTTTTCCTTGGCACAACCACTTAGCAAACCACAATGCAGTCGGATTCTTCGGGTGTTCGTGTTGAGGTTTGCCTTCAACGCTGAAGGGGCAGCCCAACAAGAAAACCTGAAGAATTGGTTGAACTGGGTGGTTATTGCGTGACTCCCCGAAAAAGGTTGTTTCCTGGAAGGGCCCACAGCGATGTGTGGGAAGGATGTTTGCGGGGAGGTCTCTTAGGCATATTTGGGAACCTAACTGTCCCTGATTTCTCCTCAACTAAGACAAACGTTTTGGGGTTGACTAAAAATATGAAACCAACTCAGAGCATCTGGTCTTTTTCTGTGTGCTCCCCGCGCTTCTTCGGTGTCACCTGAAGAAGAAGAAAAAGGGGGGGGGGGCGGCGAGGGCACCTCGGTGACACGGAGCACCTGCTGGTACTCCGCCAACGGCTGCACCTGCGATTATGCCTACGGCCAGCAGACCCGGGCCCGGGGACCCAAACAGCTTTCAGGGTGTGTCGTGGCTCGCTGCCGGGAAGGTGATGGGAAGGCACAGGGCGGGCCGTTTTGCGATTGGCACGTGCTTTTTTATCATACATATATATATATATATATATATATTTATTTATTTGGAGACCTATCATGATTCTCACTTCCGGAGTTTCTGGACTTGATAATTGCGTTTGGGAAGACCGTTTTAGGGATACACTATATTTTGTTTTAACGTTTTTTGGGCCAACTCACTCCGGAAGTGAGGTAACTTGAACCCAGAAAGCCATCATGATCAGACGTCTCCTTTTGGGGGGACCTTCTTTTTGGGTCCCACGAAATGATTCTGCAGGGGAGGCCCCCGAAAGGCTAAGTATGTGCTCACTTGCTGCTCGGGGGGGCGGGGGTTGGGGGGAACCAACCGCCTTTCTCTGGCCGTTGAGCGAGAGAATCATGTTAGTTTAATCCCCCTTACGCTTATATACCTACACAAGGAAAGTTGTGCCATCTACTTTCACCCTGGCAGGATACCATTTCCGTGAGGCCGTTCGGCAAGCGGAAAAAATATATGGTTCATGAGTTCACGTTTGGGTAGGAAACGGCTAACGCAAGTGCCAATTACCCTGGGCAAGACATGGCTTCAAGAAAACACATGGAGCTAAAGGTCACCCTTTGTAAGGGGCTCTTGCTTGGTAGGAGCTGGTGTTTTGCATCTGGGTAAAAGTAGATATCACATTTGCCCAATTGTGGTTTTCTCATCACATAAAATTGTGCCATTTGAATTCACCCTAGTGTATGTGCCATTCAGAGAGATCCCAAAACGGACTTCACGTGGTCACTTCTGCCCTGGTGCCATGTTTGTTGTGCGAATTGCCTGCCCCGCAGCCAGTTTTGCCGCAAAGTTCCACGTGCGCGCCTCCGAAACCGCAAAAAAACAACCGTCGTCATGGTCCGTGGCCTGGTGTTTGTGGCTCTCCTCACAGGCCCGGGCGCTCGGGCGGTTTCCTATGACAGGGTCCCATATTGAGGCCAGACAAAAAAGACCCAAATAACGTATTCCCGTCCAAAAGTGATGAATCCCCACTAGACTCAGGGACACCCTCCGTCAAATCCCCCCCATGGCAGACGCCAAGAAATACTGAGCACTTCCGCGTAATGTTTGGGCTTGGGCCATCCCCCCAAAAACATGTGCTAGGGGGGGGGGGGTCTAATAGACACCACTCAACGTAGATGGTAGGTGAACGCCTAACATGGCCCGCTACTTTGAGGGTTAGCAAAGCATTCAGTATGGCTTGATAAGAAATGTGTCACGGGACCCAACACGGCCATGCAGGTGCAGAATGGTCTCACTTCATTGCATAAAGCATAGTTCGGCGCAGGGGACCGATCCGCCGGGATTCTTTGTTCTTTGCTCGAATGCGAGTGTCCCTTTGAAGTCTACTCACAGCTAGGGGACAACTCCTTTCTTCTCAAGCGAAGCCACTGGGCGAGTGAGTTGTTCTTTTGAAATAACCTCAATGGAAAACTGTCACACGTGCAAATACACATGTGTATATATATATATATGAATGCATATGAATATACGTAAGTCAACAACAACTTTTAAATATGTGTAGGTACACACATCTATACACAGAGAGATCTGTGCTCCAGGCTTGCCAGATCTCCCGATGGAACATGGGTGTTGGTTGAGAACCTCTATGTTGCAACTTTTGTCTCGGCCAAACTGGACGTTGTGAACGCGAAAGCGGGGCTGAACCTTTTCGGCCCCCGGCCTCTAGGCTGCTTTGCCTCCGGGAACCTGCGCGCCAATGCCACGGTGAACGCCACGAACGCTACAGCCAAGGCAGGTGAGCCCCGACACCCCCCCCACCTCCCCCGACTGGATGGGAATGCATAGCAACTTACATGAGCGGCACCCGAAACCCTATAGATGGTCTGATGGTCCTGATGCTCCGAATTGCCTCCAAGCAATTGACCCATCTTTTGTGGGGCCTGCTTTGGGGAAAAAGCGTCTGCTCATCGTGGCGATTCCACGGAAGCTTCCCAATCGAAATGGATCGTGTTGGTTTAAGCAACGGTCACCAGGGAAACAAATCGGCAGTGGGTCCGTGATGGTCCGTGATTCCCTCTTCCAGGGGCCAATGTTTTTAACTCTTGCATCTTTCGAGTTCCCCTGGCAAGGCCAAGTTGTACAACTTCCCACACCCTCTCTCATGGGAAACCGCCCGCCAAGGTACTCTTCCTCCCACACCGAAGCTGACGGAAGCTTTCTCATTTCCCACACCAGGAGTTGGGCGGCAAATATTGTATAAACAACCAAGGCCCCGACTATCCCCCGACTATCCCCCGACCTCCCTTTACAGGGAAACCAACGTGGAGGTGGTTTGAACTCCGTTGGCGTTTAGACCTGCCGAAGCATCGCCAGGGCCTGACCTTGAAATCTTCTGCGGCGGCCGGGAAGTGCCGCTTGGCTGCCGAATATTTTGGGGGGGACTCACGGCCGGGCTGAAATTGGACCGGCCCTGCATATTGTTGCAGCCCTTGTTGTTTGCTTGGGGGGCGTGTTTTTTTTTTTTTTTTTTTTTTGGTTTGTGCATATATATATATATGTATATATATGTGTGTGTAATGATCCAATGCTATTTCACATGGCCGTTAACACATGTTTGTGTCAAGGTTTGACCAATTTTAAGCTGAAATGAATCCGTCAACGGGGGTGGGCAAGGAACTAGCTGGCAGAGAATTGCACCGTGGTCTCCAGACATGTTTGGTTGAGTTTGGACTGACCATGAAACAGCCTCGCCAAAAATGGTTGAAGTTCGTCCCCCAGATGTGGACCAAGTCTCGTTGCCCCGAGGCGAAGGCACCCCTAACCTCCGAACCACCAACCCAAAAACCCACCAGCTCGGAGGAAGCTCGGCTCCCCTGGCTCGCGTGGGATTTTTCCATTTTCCAGCTTGGGAAGGCCGTGGCCGAAGATGCTTCGTCTAGTGGAAGCTTGCAGGAACTGGAAGACGAATCCGTTCTGACAATAAAGGCCCCGTAGTTAAGCATTTTTCCAATTTTCCTGGGGGCCAATACTCAGTCAGAGTAGCCCAATTTGACATCAATACTAGCGACTCCTTCCACCATCCTCACCCCCCTGCCTTCAAACACCAAGCACCAGTCTTTGGAAAAGAAACACAGGCTGTGATTCCCTTTCAATTCCTCACTTAAGAGGCCTTTCTGAACTATTCTTCCATGACCGCTGCCTTGTTCTTTCGCAGCACAAAGCTGCTTGTGTGGCTTGCCATTGACCCCAAGACTCCCTCACAAGGTTCACAGAGCCCTCCAGAGGGTAGAGGTCCTAATGTCTCCCCTGCTCCTGGTTGCCAGTTGTGTTTTTTGCCCTGGTTTCTGTCTCAACCATGTGTTGGTTGGCACTGAGTTTGAGTCTTAGGCTGGGTGCCGGGCCTTGACCATTGTTCCCTGTCAATCAGTGCTATCTTACGGAGCTCGCATGTCAGGGGGGGGGGTAGAAATATACATGTCGATAGGTACATAAATAACAGAGTACTCAAATACATGCATGTGTTGTTTTTCAATAAACATGTGAATTTAACAAAGACATGATCAAAAGCAAATCAAAGGAACAATAAATGAACAAACACATCACACGCAAGGTAGCGTGTGTTTTTTCTGTGGCAAACGGTCTCGATGTCATGTGCTTCTCTGGTTCCGCCATTTCTTCCCTTGCTGGTTCTTTTACAGTGCTTGTCTAGCATGATTTTGAATATTTTACAGGGGATCCCCACATTCGCCGTCACAAAACCGTTGTCCAGATCAATAGCGCCATGCCAAAAGAATTCCTTTAACTGGGCCTGTGGGGATTTGAACGGTTCCTACGACTCACTCCCCGAGTTCCTGTTATTTTTGCCTCTGGGATTGACCGTTCTGGAGGTAGAACAAAAGGTCCGACTTTTTTCAGCCAATCCACTCAGCAGGTGAGTTGCCATGACCCACAGATTCAGAGAATTGACCATGACGCCCCTCTCGAGTGAGGCACTGCCAAGGACGCGGCCGCAATGACGCAGCTGGGCGGAGGCCCGGATTGGGGTAAACGTGGGCGATGGGGTGATTTTTCCCCAGCTCCGTGGGCCGGCTGTTTCGAGGAGAGTTCTGACGCATGGGGCGGTTCCAAGGAGGTGGGGGCGTTCTGGGGCGGTTCCATGCATGGGGCCGGTTCTGAGGTGTGGAGATCTCACCCGGGCTTATGTTTTCAAAAGAGGATCAAGTTCTGTGGAAGTTGTTTTACTCGTGGCTTGTTCTGGTGCCACATAAAGGGTGATGTCCCACAACCACTGGGGGGGGGGAGTGTTGGTGGTTTCCCATTGAACTATTCTCCACAAAACGGCTTTGGGGGGGGGGGGTGTTCACAAAAAGGCCAGGCTGAGCCATTTCTCTACCCTCGTGCCTGAGAGTCCGGATCTGGGTGACCGTGAAGACACCACCCGCAAAACAGACAGTGGCGCGTTTTGCTGGGTTTTGTTTTGCTCGTTTGGTGAAAGCACAGCACCGTTTGCACCCTACCATGTGCCGCTTTCCCAGAAAATACTGGTTGAAGGGCAACAGTTGGTTAGGAGCAATTGGCGAGTATTTCCGCCAGCCAGTCGGCCAGTTGGTGGGACTTCCCGAGTTGCGGGTTGAGCGGTGGAACCATTTTGATGAACGATTCCTTGGCGCACTGTGCAAGCCTGACCGGTTAATTACCTGCAACCCTGCGGAAGGGTCCCTACATTTCCTGATTAGATGAGCTTCTTTTTTTTTAACATCGTCCGTTAAAAAAGGATGCATTTGGGTTTTTGGATGCATCCCGGAATTAAAGTGGAGGTCTCCTCCAAAAACTATTCTACTGTCCAACTTAGCCTCACTGTGAAGCAGAATCTGTTCTGTTTGCTTAACAATTTTTATGATTTAGCCCAACTGTGAAAGACAATCTGGACCAGCACACCCCCCCTCAACAACTGTTTTTTTGGATAGTGCTTGGGATTTTGGACATGGTGGCGGGGTGCTGGAACCCATGTTTTTCTTTGCATCGTGGAAGCGGAACAGTTCACCCCGCTTTTGCCAGGCAATGGGGCCGGCAGCTTCCCCCGACTCCTCTCGGACTGCGGCAAGCGGAACTTCAACATCTTCACGGGATTCAACCGCACTTCGGCCCATCGGATTGGGTGTTGCTTCCTATATATATGTACCTGTATGAATGTATATCTATATATATATACATATTCATGCACAGGTTCGGGGTGGAAGATGTCAACCCCAGACGTAAAATTGACTGAAACAGTGGCTGCGTGCAATGGACAACAGTTTGTTCAATACGTAAACACTCATGCATATACATACAATATATATATATACGCTCAAATATGCAGGAGTCTAGTGTGAAGACTGCCCCCCGCTCCCTCCCGCGTTTTCCGATTCCAAGCATGGCGGCTTCAGGGGCTTTGCGGCTCGCGTGCCTGGGCCGTATGATGCAGGCTCCCATTGAACATGAGAGGTGACTTTGGGTTGGCAAACTTCAGATTCGCCTGGACCATGCTAATCTGAGCGGTCCCTTACATGACTTGATTCCCCACGTAAACTGGAAGAAATTGTGATCAGTGGGCTCCTTTGGGCTGGATAATCCAAAGTTGACAGCAATTCACCCATGTCAGACAGATCCTTTGAGTTCGGGAGGGGGCTGTTACCACCGCGAGGTGTGTACTGTATATGTTATGGCCAGTTCGTGCCTGGGTAAACAAGCTCACCATAATGTAGGCCATTTACTTGGGGATCATATTCCTCACTTGCCCAAAGCCGACCTTTTGTCCTTTTGGTGCTCCCCTTTTGGTCCATTTAGTCATGGCCCAAAAGTGTTAACCTTTTATTTCTAACTCCTTTAAGCAACTGAGAAATTTATTATCGGATTTTTACGAAGTGCGCCTTGCCCGAGGCAACAACTACATGTCCTGCGTGTCGCAGGATGCTTCGATCTCCAGCTCTTGCAGCAGCCCCCCGGCTCGATGGGTTTGCGGCTTCGGACCACTGATCCGAGAAAGGAAACGAGATCCATGCCCAGTGTATGAATATGGGGGTGTTCCCCTCCAAAAGTGATGAACCACCTACTAAACACTAAACCAGGGACACCCGCATGCAGTGATTGACAGCATTCTGCACCAGTTGGGATGGACGGTCATTCTATTGTCTGGGGTCTCCTCCAGCATCTTTTGTGTTTTTTTTGAAGCTGGACTAAATATGCCACAATATCTATTATGTTTGGTTCACCCTGGGGTCGGACCAGATCAATTTGGTTGAACATAGATGGCGTGGTATCAGTCTCAGTTTGGGCTGACCCATCCCATTTGGGGGCTGCTCGGGAATCCGGCACTGGGTTTTGCTCCAACAGTATGCTATTTTTTGTGATAGATGAAATGCGGAACAGAACTAGGAAACAGTGTTTTCTGTGTGTTCCAGATCGCCCCCAGCTAAACCACAACTTTAGAACATTTTAGGACAGCTTTCATAGTTGTGTTATCAGTCCGTCTTACTGAGACTCGGACATCCCTTGCCTTGGCAACGAGGCTGCTTCGCCATTGCTGCCAGCTATGGAGCTGCCAACTGCAGCCCGGCTTGTGCCGTTCGTGCTGCGTCGTTTTTCGGGCTGTCTTTTCACGCTGTGTTTCGATTTGGTTGGTGTTTGGGCTTCTGTTTTCCTGTGCTGTCAGCGCCTTGAAGACCCCGTGCAAACTTTGGGACCCCAAGGCAAAAACCAACGATGGGTTTTGGGGTCGGGAAAACAAAGGGCAATTTTTGGAGGAGAACTGGAGGGACCCCAAAAGGGGGACATGGTGGAATTGGGATCGGGAAAGCCAATAGACTCGAAGAACAGGGGAAAAGAAGCAGAGAAGAGAACCATGTTGTGACAAGGCAGGATCGCGCTGCATACCTTCAGCTTCTGAAGCAGGATCACAGGATCTTTGGTGCAAATGAAGCTGGCAACAGGTCTATGCAGGCAGCTTGCCAGCCCCATGCCCCCCGTACTCAAAAAAGGCCCAAGACATTCGGTCGGTTTCCATTGGCTTTTCATTAGTTTTCACTTTGGTGTTCCCTCCAAACATGCGCCACTGCTCTGGGGGAGACAAACAAAGACCTAAACCGGGATCGGCGCGTTTGGCGCGTGGTGGGGGGCCTCACTTCCTCAAACGAGCTGAACATTTGCCCATTCACCCGCCACCAACAAAGACAGGCTGGAAGCGGGCATAGCCTTTCGTTTCGAACAGGGCTTCGCCTCTGCACCCTGCCGTGTTTGTTGATGGCAGGGGGTTTTTGAGCCCTTTAACTAACAGAATGTCGGATTCTGGGCAGTCTGCCTCGAACAAGCCGTCCCCAAAACACCTGAAGAGGTGACGCGGCCATGACACCCCCGGATATAAGTATAGTCCGGATCTGGCGACACTTTTGAAAGGACTTTCAAAATGAGCCTGTGCGCTTCTGAGATTGTCGGCGGGAGGATCCCAACCGGCTCAAATTGCAAGGTTTCCGAGGTTTGAACTTTTAGTTTGCGCAATCAGCGCCAGTTCCCCTAACTCTCAACGGGAAAGCCAGTTTGGATGCTTTGGCAATTCGAACCGAGTGCCACCGATCAGGACCTTTAGATGCCAACGGAAAGCATTAATGGGGGGTGGTTCATTTAGAATTCAGGAAGCCACATGTTACTAGTAAGGGGGCACCTTTGCTAGCGGGAAGTGATTATGTGGCATGCCTGCTTTTTTCCAAAAAACATGGCTTCGGTTTTCTTTGGGGGCACCCTAAAAAAGAGAACAACCCCAAGGTGTTTTTTCTTGGGGCCTCGTATTTTCACGTGGGTTCCATGTCTAGGCGGGTATTTCCCCGTTCCCTTTCGCCAACTCACTTGCCCAAAGCCGGCCTTTTGACCTTTTGGTTTGCCCCTTTTGCTCCATTTTTAGTCATGCACCTTTTATTTCTGGCTTTGGGCAACTGGGCCAAACTTCCATGCCGACCGAGCAAGGGGGCACTTTGTTCGGACGCTTCGCGAGGCAAGTGGAGTTGCTTCTGGGGCTCTTGGTGCGGCAAGGGCTGCCTGGACTGCGTTAAGCCCAAGCGCCTCGGCACCAGACTGGGAGGATTTGTCCGACCCGTTTTATCCCAGTCAGCGTGTAGCCAGGAATCCCCCCGGCCATCAAATGATTGGTCAAGTGACCTCCTTTGTAGTTTTTTTTTTTTTTTTTTTTTGGGGGGGGGGGATAGGGCCATTGCACAGCCATCGGTTTCGAACCAGTTTCCCCCTTCAAAGCCAACTGCTCAAGAATGGGTCCCTTTTGCTTTCCCATGGCCAGTGGAGGTGCGCGGAAAAAAAACACATGTCGAAGACTTGCCCTGCTCCACATCACTCTAACATGGCTGCCACTAGCCCCTGCATAAAGGCAAGAAACCGGATCCACGGGCCCGGCCCCTGAGAACAGAAGATGGCGAACCGCCGGGCCGCCAACAAACATTAAGAAGACAGATTTGTATTTTCGATATTTCCCCTGGAAAGTCGTTCAGTTCAGCATGGCTCTTTCGTTCTTTGTTTCACTTTGGCGCCGGAAGCGGACCCATCTTGAGCGGAGGCAGTGGGCAGCTCCGATTTTTCCGGGCCCTGGTTCCAAGAAATCGGAGGATCTGCCCACTTGTGCTCAAATTGAGTGCCACATGTTTCAAGAGGATTAAAGTTTCTACAGCGTTCTGCTTCCCTCTGGGCAAGTGAGGGCACGCACCTTGAATTGACTCCTGTTTCATCAACAAACATTGCTTGGCGCACAGAAGCCCATTTCCAAGAGGAAAGCTGTGTCCAAAAGGGGGGTGTGCACTTCAGCTATAGACAAAAGTATCCCTAACATGCAATCTCTGTTTAAATGTTACAAACCTATCGTTCAAACAACCACTTCTTGGCTTCCCTTTACAGAGTGCCATCGCTCAAACACATGTTGGCCAATGCTCGGCCTCAGGAATGATGATGTCAGGGAGTGCGCTGGAGTGGACATCCCTAACACCCAGCAGTGCCGATGAGACGAGCGCCTGGAGTGTTGCACAGATATGTCACTCACGCTCGGCGATCCCATACCCCCATCCAACTGCCTT